AGAATTTTAATTCCTACAACTTCCTTAAATGCAGCACTTCCAACATGGTTTATTGAACACACAAGAATTTTTTTCCAGTTGTTATATACATCTAAATTAACTTTTTTCAGTTTCCTTTTTTCACACTGTTTACATTTTTTAGATAAAACTTATCAATGATTAGATAAAATTATCAATGATTAGATAAAATTATCTCTACAAACTTATCAATGATTAGATAAAACGTATCAATGCATTTTAATTGTTTGTATATTTATTTCATAACTGATTTTCCCTGATGTAGACCGCTATCAACTGCATTCATTTGAAAAACAAAATGTTATTATTCACATATATTCAGTGTATGAAACATTAAATAACTAAGCAAGAACCATTTTCTTTGATAAAAGATGTTTAATGTCTATTGCGGTTAAATGTTCTAATTTATTCATAAGAGACAAGAGACGATCACTGTCTATAAAAAAATTGCATTCAGGGGTGGGGATTAGAGGATCACTTTCAGAAAACAAAATATTAAATTTTTTCAAGATGCTGATTTTTTATGACTCAATTCATTGTTTACTAATTTTGATGTATAATACAATGTATTGGCATTTAAAGTTTTTTACAATTTCTTTTTTCTTGATCGTAATTTATCATATCATTTTTCAGTACCCATTCCATGTAAGAATTGCTTTATTAATTGATAATATTTTTTTAACTAAAGGAAACAAGAATCATCAAAACAACCTTTATTTAGAAGCTCGGAGTGGTTAACGTTATTTAGGATGATTCAAAATAAGATTTTGTATAATTAAATAAAAGAAGACCGGAAAAGTTGTTGTAAATATTTGAGTTAGTATAGAAAGATAATGACTTCTTAAATCTGCGTTTTATTAAAAGTCAAAATCTTACTTTGGATTATTCTAAAAAACATTACCCGCTCTGATTTTACAACGGTTTTAGGGGTTTCAGTGTATAGCTTATAGACTTGGTATTAGAAGATATTTAAATGAACAAAAAGAAGCTTTAAGGTGAAAACCAGATGTCTAGATATAGTTTCAATCGTGAGATTTAGAAATATAGCGTTGTTAAGGAGGTTGTTATGACCTCAAAACTTAAACAACTTTATCAAGAAAGACAAATTTTGCTTGAATGCAGAGGTTTTTTTTAAATCAAATCAAGTGAAAAGTTTCCATGAAAAAAGACTATAAATCTCAAAAATATAATATTTTTGAACAGTTTTAAAAAACGCCCCTTTTCCCTCTTGCTACCACGCTAATTTTAAAGTACCGAATTTTTAAAATGTTGTTAGTTCGAGGAATAACTTGCTATTCATTAATTGCATTTCAGTTGAATAGTAATTTGTTTGAGTTTTCTCTTTTTGAATTTATTGTCTGACAGCAACGTCAACTGACAACTGACCGTAACATCATATTGTCTAACAGTCAATTTTTAGGAGCTAAAGTGTCTTAAAACTTGTTTCAATCTCTCTTTTTCTATTTTCATAAGACCTAATTTAATTTTTTTTCTTCTCTATTTAAATATTTTACATGCATATAACTTTAATACATTTATAAATATAAAAACATTTATATGTTTACAAAAATGTTATTATCATAAATTTCATCTTATTTATAAACATATAAAAACATTTATATGTTTATAAATAAGATGAAATTTATGATAATAACAAAGACTAACTAAGAAGTAATAACAAAGAGTAACTAAGAAGTAATAACAAAGACTAACTAAAAACTAATAACTTTTTCATATTTGGATAAGATGAAAAAGTCAGCTTTATAATTATAATCTATGAAATTTTAAAGTTATGAAAAGAGTACTTTTTTGGATTTGTTATCAGTATTAGAAAATTGATTTAGTCAATTTGAATTGAACGATGTCGATTGACTTAGAGATTTTATTTTCGATGTGCCTATATGATTTTTCCAATTTCGATTTTTTTAAAAAATTGTTCCCACAATTTTCATTGAATTGACTCTTTCATCAATTTTATCAATGTTGTTCATAAAATTGATTAAGCTATCAGAGCTAGATGGTCAGTGAAATGAAATACATTTAATTTTGAGAATGTTTAAAGAAAGTTTTTTTTAGCTTTGAACCACTTATTTAGGCGTGACAGCTCGTGTTAAACAGTAAAAAAAAATATTGTTTTCATATTGGGACATGAAAAGAAAAAACTCGTATTATAAGCGAAAAGAAAAAATTTAAAAAATAGTAAATATCCAAAAAAAGAGTCATGGGGTATACCACAACTAATTGTTTGATACAACGTTCATGTTTAGCCGTTCGATACTCCTTGTTTCCTGTTATTTAAGTAACGTTATAACAAAATTACGATTTTAGGTTGTTGTTTATTACTCCATATATCTATAGCTTGTATAGGAGGATCTCGCAGTCGACTGTATTAAATTTTTTGTTTAAATCAATAAACAAGGCTAGAGTCTAATCTTTATTTTCAAAACTATTTAAAAATCTTTTGACCAAGTCAATTACAGCATAAAATGTCGAGTTACATGCAAAAACCAAGTGTTTGTTGTATAAAATATTAATTATTTTGTGATAGTTATATAATTAATCATACATTTTACGTTCAAGTAACTTTGAAAAGCAAGATAGTATGGATATAGGCCTAAATTAGATGCTATACAGTTGTCGCCATTTTCATATATATCGGAAATACTCTTACTATTTTCAATTAATCCCGAAAAACACCAGTTTTTAAAGATAAAGTGAATATAATTAATAGGCAATTCAATAATATCAAATACTGATTTCAAAACACATGCATTAATTTGGACAAAATTAATCCAAGTGTTGTACTTTGTTGATTTTTAGTGTATTTAAGACTGTTAAGAAATTCAAGAAAATTTTAGACTCCATAAAAAGATTTTTTTACTTAAAATAGCAACATAGCAATGGTCATGTATATTTATTGTAATTAAGAATTTTTTTCCCCCTTAATTATAAGCCTAAAAACTATATTTAATGTTGATTTAAACAACTAAGATTACTTAGCTATCATAAGTAATGGTGGTGTTGTCTAAATGAGGGGTATTTTATTATATTTATTACACACCTTATTTTAAGTTAAATTAGCAAAATATAAAACGTTGAAATAAAAGAAGCTGAAATAAAAGTGGTTGAAGACTGTTTCGTTGTAAAACTAACTTCTTTACTTAATGGAGAGAAGACACGGACGTTTAGATATTGGAAAGTTATTATACGCAAGCGCAGTAGGATTTTATAAACTTAAGAAAATAAAAAATGGCTACGGGCCCTCAGTAACAATAAAAATGTAATTAAAAAACCACATATTTGTATATTCTAGGTCATAATATACGTTTTTAATTATTTATCGAGTTAAGTAAGTTTATACATAGATTAATTAAATTATAATTTCAAACATAATAAGAAAAGTTTCCTTATGAAAAAAATAAACACAAAAAAGTTACTTTTTTTGTGATTTGTTTACAATTTTTAAAATACTTTTGCTCATTATTTGAGCGATAAAATTGATTTTTTTTTTCATTTCAATTAATTAAGATTTTAATCTTTTTGGTAGTTGGTTTAGCTAAGTGGATTCAATTTTTTATTCTTCATAAAAAAAAAAATATTTTATGCTAAATTTGCAATAAATAAACAATCTTTACTTGATTTAAAAACACTAATATTGTAATCAAAGGATCCAAAATCGAGAAAAAACGGAGTCGAGAGAAACCGAGAAAAAACTCCGTCGGAGTCGAGAAAAAATCGGAGTTTCGATAATATTTTGTTATAAAAATTAAACTATCTACTTGATAAAAAAATTAAACTATTTGATAATTAAACATTGTTCTTGTATTTTTATTTTTTAATTTTAAATATTTCGATTTATAATTCATAATAAAATTTTAAAAAATTTATATTTTTATATTTCTTAGTACATAAATATTTTTTTTATCACAATTTTTTAACGAACAAGTTATATCTAATAATTGGCTTTCTAACCGGCATCGGTTAGGAAGAAGGCGTGAACTTTCAGTTAAATGCCCTTCTGCGTTGCTATGCAATAAAGACTTGTTGGGGCACCTATAGTAAAAATTAAAAAAAAAAATTGAAAAAAAAAGTATTTATACTGAAGATCTTTTTAAATAATATTTTAAAAAGATCAAAACATCTATCATTTCATCAGAAAGCGAACTACGAAAATTTTGTGACAAATCTGGAAGACGAGGAGAAAACTCTTTCTGCTTCCGAGGAAGTTGCTTGAATTCTGTGGATGGCTAGTTCAAATTTTAAAACTGTTTCTGATTTCACACCAGTTACTTCATATTCTTTCAACTGATCGGTGAAGGTCTTGACTTTTTTTGGTCTTTTAGCTGCTGATTGATTTTACGTTAGAACTTCTTGAATTTCGGAGAAAAAAGATGTCGATTGTGATGATTCTTCTTGTTTGTTTTTAGCGTGATCATCTGATTTTGATTGGAGACTATTTTCTTTTGTTGAAAATAGTTGATCAAATAATTTTGAAGCGTAAATTTGAATATCTTTTTTGGAAGCGTAAAAAAATGTGTGGTTTTTATTTTTAAAAAAATCGGGATTGTGCAAATAACGACTCAATGATACCAACATAACGTTTTTACGATCTTTATATCTAGAGATTAAGGTCTCTGCAAAATTAGAACTGATGTCAGTTTCTGCAACCTTCAATTTCCTTACTAAGGTTTCCATAATAATGTCACACTCCAAAATTGTTGTATTTGGTTTTTCCAAGCGAACTGCAGCGTCAGCAACGACTTCCAATAAGTCAGACAGCGATTTTAAGAAATCCAAGTCAATTTCAGCTAACATGTTTAAGCAGTTTAGCTCTTCGAGTGTTTTTTTACAGCTTCTAAGCAATCCAGAAATCTTTTAATCATCTTAAAAACACTGTTCCATCTTGTTCGGTTGTCGAACAACAGTCCTTTGTCATGCGAAGATCCGTATATTTCGTGTATTTTTCTTTTAAGAACTTCATATCAAAACGATGAATATTTCAAAAACTTAATTAGTATTCGAAGTTTCTCTAGATTTTTTTCGATATTTTCTTCATACTCAATCTCATTAATCGATTCAGTTTCTTTGTTCACAATTTTGCGACAATCTTTTTTAGCGTTTATCAAATCACAAACACTCAAATGAATTGAATGATTCTGGCAGATCTGATGTGGAAACTTAAATATGGTACCCAATTTCACCATCCAACTACAGCAATCCGTAGTTTTACCTGCAATATCTTCACTATCTATACCAAATTCTTTTAATTTTTCCATTATCAAAATGTTTAATGTTTCAGCAGAACTAGGAGATGGCAATCTCATCATTCCTAAACAATACGTTCTGTCGTGATGAACATTTAAATTGTAGTATCTTCTACCTCTATTGCTACACCATTCGTCACCTGTTAGTCCAAATTTCTCTCCTTTTGCTTTCAATGCAGCCAATTCAGCGATCATTAAGTATTTGGCTTCAGCATGAAACATCTTAATTTTTTCTGAAATTGCGGACGCTGACTTAGGCAAACTATGCCCGTAATTTTCAAAAAGCATTCTTAGTGTTTCAGATTGAGTTATGGACCTAATCGAATACCCATAAAGAGCTGTCAACTTGGCAAGGAGATCGTTTAATGACATCTTAGTCAAAACTGGTCTGGAACTGAATGGTTTCAAATCTATTTTCTTGCAACTTTTGACGTGTCCAATAAGGCCGTTTGTGCTGCTTCCTGGACAAGCGATTCTTTTATGACATTTTTTGCAATCTCCATACTTCTTATCATTTACCACAACTTTATTAAAGTACTTCCACGCTTCCGAAACCATTTTTTTCTATGAAAGAAAAATTATCAATTTGATAATGACCTCCCATATTTGTTTTTAATTTTATTTTAATATTGAAAAGTTATCACATTTTAAGTTATTAAGTTATTTATTCTGATAGGTAAGTATAATTAAACATTAATTATTATTTTTATTTATTTTCACTGATAACATTTTATTGCACAATTTTGCCACAATGCTCAGTGGGCCGGATTTTAGACTTATGGTGGACAAAATTATTTTGATCATACAAAATACGACACTACTTGTATAAAATGAAAGTTTTATATGTTTTATATGTTAAAAACTTACCTCGTTATTTTACGACCAGTCTTTGTTTATATTATAAATAATGATCTTGACTAAACTTTTTTTTTTGTAAAGGTAAACTATTGAGTAGTTAAAATATATAAACTAATATCACATTCGCATAATATTTTAAAAGTTACTGTTTATTATATCTTTGCTTAAAAATTAAAAAATTCTTGCTTTTTATTATGCATTACATTTTATTATACCGCAATTGATTTTTGTGGATTTAAAAAAATACTAATACTAAAAAGATACTAATATACACAAAAGAGTTTTTGAAATAGTACAATGGGAAAGTATGAGCATGTTTTAATATATGGTTTTGAATAGAATAAACTTTTTTTGAGGTTTTTTTCACCATCATCACCTGGCCCACTGTGCATTACCAATTGCTTTGCGATGTATAGTGTTGTTATTAAACGAAGAGAACACTTACATTTGAAACAATTTTTAAAATTACAATTTACAATTGTAAAAACCACGTAGAAATAAAATAAGAATTCAATTATTTTACGAATAAAAAATTGGTATTTTCTAAAAACTTCGTCGAAGTTTCGTCGAAGTTTCTCGATTTGTCTCGAACTCCGAAACTCCGAAAAACCGAGAAAAATCCGTCGAGACGGAGTTCCGAATGGGTCCACTGATTGTAATAGATATATAAAACCTAATCATTTTATAATTGAATAAATAAATAAAATTTACACAAGCAACTATTTATTTGTTCTTTCTTTACATTTTTTACATTCCCTGTTGGTTTATACTGAAATATAAATGAAGGTAAATCATTTTATGTAGCCTGTTGTTGCAAAGAAAAAAAGAAATCTCAATATAAAAAAATATGTAAACACAACAAAACATAATTTAGTATAATGTGTTTATAGTTTTAAAATTCTTCTTACTAATTCTTTAAGCTGATCTTAGGTGTTCTACCTGATAATTCTATTGTTTTCCAAAGATAAACTTTTACTGTTTATATAACTTCAATTTGCTTTAAATAAAGTATTTTCGCATTGCATTATAATTTTTATATAATTTTGGAATTAAATATTTAAGTTACTTAAACTAAAGTAAAAAAAAAAAAAAAGAGGCGATTTTAAAGTTATAGTCGGTTTCTATACAAATTTAGTCGGTTGGTCGGATATTTCACACAATTCAGTCGGGTAAATTTTAGTTTTGAGGACCTCTTTTTTTTTTCAGAAGCCAGCCTAGTACTTTTTAAGGATTTAACCCCCTCATTTTATTGGGAGAATCGCCTCTGAATACAAGCAATAAATATGCATGTATGTATGTATAAATCTATCTACCTATATATATATATATATATATATATATATATATATATATATATATATATATATATATATATATATATATATATATATATATAATATATATATATATATATATATATATATATATATATATATATATATATATATATATATATATATATATATATATATATTTAATGAATTTCAAAAAAGAAAAACAAATGAGGCTTTAGACAAATACATATTGAATGCATAAAAAACATATTTTAATATACTGAGACGTGTTCCTCCTTATTATTTTCATTTTATTATCAATAAACTTTTTAATCCCAATAATAATTTTATTCAAAGAATAAGATTTATATTTTTATTAATACCTAAAACTATAAATATATAGTTATTAAATATTTTTGTAACTAAAACCGCAGCCATCATTAAAATCTAAAGTTTTGAAAGTTTTAATGCGCTTGCGTATAATAACTTACCGCTTTTAAACAACCGTAAAGATAGTTGTGAGAGTAGAAAATCTTTTCTTACTAATTAAGTTCTATGATGGCATACCTATGCCAACATGCGAAACTTATCGAAAAGTTTAACAAGCAAGTTTTAATACAGGGTGTCTGCCAATATTTTAAGGTAGATTTCTCTGACTTTTTCCTGATCTTCTACCTGTTTTCCCTGATTTTGTTTAAAATTACCCTAACTCAACTTCACAAATATTGACCTAGATTCGTTTAGAAAAATGCTCTTCAACTGCAAAAACATAAACAATAATATAAGCCACATTAAATGTATCAAAAGAAGTTCATAAAACTATCTGCGAAATAAACTTTTATTTTATATATTATGTGTACCATATACAAATTATTTACGTTATGCGAAATTTGATGAAGAGCCATTCCCCCTGATTTCTCCCTGATTTTTCTAAAATTTAACCTTATTTCCCTGATAATTCCCTGATTTCTTTGCAGATATCTAAATTTCCTGACTTTTCCCTGATCTGGCAGACACTCTGTAATATTTTATACACTTGTCAAATGACGATAGTTTACAAAAAAACCATTGTTATTCAAACTGTCTCAAAATCTACAACAAAAAACCTCGTGATTTTTGTTTAATTATTATCTTTTTAAATAGATTAATGCTTTAACAAAAATATGTTATGTTTAAAATTTATGATAATTTATTGTTAATAACTTCCCCTTTTACCCATATTGGTTATTTATTTTAAAGTTATGAAAATTTTGTTTAAATCTTTTTGAACATCAGAAATAAATATTGTTGTTGTTATAACAAGTTTTGAAAAAAATAACTTGTTTTTAACATATGAATAACGCTTTGCGTAAAACTTTTGAAAGATTTGTCCTTGATTTTGTCCTGGATATATTTTGTGGATATTGTTAGACAAGGATATTTGTGGATGTTTAACAAGGAAAAAAAAAATTCAACTGCATCTTTTTGAAATAATTTTTCTCATTTCAATCAGTATGTTAAAGATAGCCTTTAATATAAGAGTTTACAAAATTGCTATGGTAAACTATTTAAAGCTATTTATTGCTATGGTAAGACATATTTAAAGAGATTTGGTAACTATAATAACTAAAAATTAATAACAAAACCATTAAAAAAAAAAAAATTTCATTTTGTCTAAAAAAATAATAAAAAAAAAATAATAAAAAAATCAATATAAATTAAAAAAATTATTTCTTGCATTTAAGATGTGCAATTTTTTACAAATTTGATGTTAAAAATACTTTTAAATTTTTGTAACAAACATAAATTTTTATAAATTCTGTAATTCACCTTCTGTATTTATATACTATAAGCATTTATAATCAAGAAAAAAACAAACCGTTAAATCGTAAAATATCAGATATTATGAAGATATAAACTTCATAAGTGTAGAGTTAAAGACTTTAGGCTGATCGTAATGTGGAGCATGGGAAGCATTTTCAATACATTCAATCTTGCCATTTTCTAAAGCTTCAAGAGATAACCTACCTGATTCCAACAAACTGAAATCAAAAAGTAAACAATAATGTGTATACTGAACAATATATAACAGTATTAAATATTATATGAAAACATTAATGTTTTTTTTTTTTTTTTAATAAAAAACAAAATCAGCCTTATTTAAAAATCAAAACAAAACATATTAACTAACTAATAATTAAAAACAGACAATGTAATAAAATTAAATAATTAAACTACCTAACTGTAATTTACAATTCTTTAAAAAACTTGTTATTATTTTATTGATAACAAGTCCATTTAACATAATGACATAATTTAACATAATGACATAATACAATTTGTATAAATTGGCTCACTTGGAAAATCAAGTTCTTATAAAGATTTTTGGTGAATGTATTGTGGCCTTTAGGAGAAGATTAAAACATTTTATTTCTTGGCTTAAAAAAAATCTCTTCTAACAGCAAAGCAAATAGTATTAAGATTAAAAAGTTTTTGAGCACGAAGGAAAATTTTTTTCTTATAAACAAACTAATTTTCCAATTAAGGTGCAAGAAACCACTGATTAAGTTGACAGAAAGCAAAGAAGAAATTTAAAGAACAAGAAAGCAGTTAACAGAAGACTTAAAAAATTGTTAATTGTATGAGTAAGAAAAAAATTTCAATATATATAATGCAGGAACCTTGTTCATAAAGGTTGTTTTTTTATTATAGAATTAAGTGGAGAAAGCTTTCTTAGATCATTCAAAGAGCAGCCTTGACTGTAGTAGCCTCCTTGAACCAAGAGATAAATATGTACAAATTAATAATAATAAATTAATACCACCAATTACATAAATTCAGAGTTTTAAAATTCTGAAAGAGATTATCTGTATTTCAAGAAAAAGAATTAATTTATCAACAGTATAACCTATTATATGGAACTATATAACTATTATGTGGAACAGTATAACTTTTATGTGGAACAGTATAACTTTTATGTGGAATTGCATAACTAATATGTGGAATTGTATAAATATTATGTGGAATTGTATAATATAATGTAGAATAGCTTATTGCAAAAGATAATGTAAATCTAAAAATGTTGCATTGCATGCTCAATACAAATTCACACTTCACTTCAACAATATTTTTTAAACACTTGACACTTAATTGCATCCAACCAAAAAAATATTATTAAATATAACTTCTTATAAGCACTGACACTTTTTTCTCTTACATTCTTTGTCTGAAAATATCTCTATTATTTCACAGTTATTTGAAAAAACCCATCGAATGTAACAGATTAACTTTTGCCAGATTAACCTTTAACAGATTAACATAACATTTCAAAATGTTTAGATCAATTTAATACAACAAAATAACATTTCTGATGTAAGCCAGTTTTAGAGATTAAGATTTTGACATTTTATAACTAAAGATGAAAATTGATTGTGGTCTGATTCTACCATATAACTTGCATAATTTTACAAAGTAAAATGGTAAAAAGTACTTTTTTACAGAATCTATATATTTTTATTTTTTAGCAGTAATTATACCACCAATTTAGGAGTTGTTATGGCATTCAGCTTAGAGAAAACTTAACAATTGCAAACAAATAAGTCATATTGCAAAAACAGACAAGTCATATTTCATCATTATTATAAAAGTTTTTGTTTATATTTTGTGTACATTGCATAAAGATAATAAATAAAAACAATAAAAGCTCTTACCAAATTGGATCATTGACACCCCAAATTAATAATGTGGGTGGAACAATCTTTTTAAATGGACCACGAGAAGTATATACTTGATTATAAAGATTTCGATAGTAGTTCAACGGGAACGTAAAACCACCTAAATAAATATTAAAAAAAAATTTTCATATCAGAAATATTATTTAAAAAAATTATTAACAAATTTTGATTATTATTAATAACAATAGTTATATTGTATTTCTTATTGATTTGAATATATATATATATATATATATATATATATATATATATATATATATATATATATATATATATATATATATATAAATATATATATATATATTATTTTTCATAAACAAACTTTCTGATAACAAAGAATCGTCTCAGTTTATAAATTATGGTATAAAATCTGCAAAATGCCCACCAACTATTAAAGAAATGTCATTATTTGAAAAAGATATGTTAAATCTTGTAAAAAATATAAAATTTCGAAAAATCCGCAACTCATTTCAAAAAAGAATATCAAAGGATATAAAATCTCTTCGCGTATCGCCCACTAATCCAAGCTGACAAATCAACTAATATGTACAGAGTATCTAAAGATAAGTACAACCACCTTTTAATGAACGCCATAACATCTACGTATAAAAAAGCTGATTATAATCTAAACCATAAAATAAATAAGGAAAGTAAAGAAATTTTAACCAACCACGATGTGTTTAACAAAATTGAGTTAAATGGTACTTCTAATTGCTTTATCACTCTCAAAGACCACAAAGTAAATTTTTTAAATAACCCCACCGTTCGCCTGTTAAACCCAGCAAAAAAACGAAGTAGGACGAATTTCCAAAACTGTAATCATTCAATATTATTTATAGTCTTCATTGTTCACTTCAGATAAAATTAGAGGAGATATCAACTTTTAACCATTTGATTATTTCTAAATACAAGGAAGCATGGAAATTGAGAGAAGTCTTTTGTAGAGAGAAAACACGTACCCCATCAGTATTCTCTTCTCTTCTACAATAATTTTTTTTGCTTCATTGACTGCTTTTTTCTTTTCTTAATCTTTGATGGCTGACAACAAAACACTCTCACGGTAAGCAAAATAAAAGTTTCTTTGCAATTCTTTCTGGGTAATTGCTATTGTATGAGGATGATTAAAACAATGAATACATTTCATAATCATGAAAAAAATTTTGTACTCCATCAACACATTTTCAATTTTTCTTGATTAAAAACCAACAGAAACGATAAACTTTGATGATGTTTTTTTTTTAAAAAAAAAAACTTCTTCGCTTCCAACAAGGCTGCAAGCAACCACTAAATAGTGTTGGAAGTTACTGGAAGAGAAAAGATAAAGATTGTAGGGCAAGATAACGATTGACAGACGACTTAAATAATTGCAAATTATATGAATCAGGAAAACAAGATAAAGGAAGCGAATTCCAAAGAACTGATGTTCGATGAAAAAAACTAGACGAGTAAGAGTTTTTAGAGCACTTAGGAACAGTAACAGAAAAAGGATGAGACTTAATTGAATGACGAGTAACACGAGAATGAATTTTAATAGATGGCACAAGAGACGCAAGCTCTTTCGAGCAGTGCCCATTATAGTATTTGTAGAAAAGAGAAAGAAAAGCAACATTACGACGATGTGACAGAGGTTGAAGGTTGGCTGCAATAACAGGTCCAACTATGTTTACAATGCGTTTTTGCACCATGTCTAAAAGAGAAAGGGCATCATTAAAAGATCTGCCCCAGATATGGCAACAGTATTCCATACAAGGCCGGATTTGAGATTTATAGAGATAGAGAATAGAATCCAGAGTAATAAAGTTTCGAGCTCGATAAAGAGAAGCAACTTTAGCAGATGCTTATTTTAGCAACGGATTTGATATAAGGTTTCCAAGAAAGATCAGAAGTGAGAGTTAATCCTAGAAGATGAAGGGTAGGAAACTCATCGAGTACATTACCATTAATAAATATAGGAAGGTCTAAATTATTGCGATAACGACTAGCTGAAAAAAAATTGAGTTTTATCTGAATAAAAGTTCACCAGCCACTGTGAGCTCCATGCTGTAGCAGAAGTGAGATCCTTTTCAAGCTCAGATGCCCCCTGCAAGCAATCAGAGGGAGTTGGCTTCTTATCGTGACAAGAATAAATGGTAGTATCATCAGCGAACAATGCCACCTTAGATGGGAGAATATCTGGAAGATCGTTAATGTAAATTAAAAAGAGTATAGGGCCAAGGATTAAACCTTGAGAAGCCCCTGAGGTTCCAGAATAAGAAGAAGAGTGCTGTCCATCAAGGACAACTTTTATACTATGATTGGAAAGAAAGGATTCAATAATCTTTAAGATGTTTCCAGATACAACGTAAGTAGAAAGCTTATGGAGAAGACCAGCATGCCAAACTTAATCAAACCCTTTAGAAATATCAAGAGCGATGGCCTTAACCTCTCCACCTTTATCTAATGCGCGATAAAACCTATCTGTTATTACTGATAGCAAATCAGCCGAAGAACAAGAAGATCGAAATCCATATTGATGATCAGAAAGTAGGTTATGAGATTCGAGATGAGAGATTAAGTGTTTGTTATTTAAAGATACAAAAACCTTGCTTATGATAGGAAGAAGACTAATGGGACGGTAGTTAGATAAATCAGATCGCTCTTCAGAATTTTTAAAAATAGGGATAACAGATGCTGCTTTCCAGCAGGCTGGAAAACAAATTCTGATAAGCATTTATTATTAAATTGTTTTGAAAGGATAGACGACAGCTCCAGAGAACACTCCTGCTATAACAGGACTATAACAGGTATGTTGTCCAGGCCGCAAGCTGTAGAAGAGTCTAAACAGGAAATCACTTTAGATACAAAAGCTGGAGTGATACGGATGCCAAGCAATGTTTCAACCTGTTTGATGGCTATATCAGGTAGAACGCAACTAGTGGCATCAAGAGATGATATTGACGAAAAGTTCTTGGCAAACAATTTAGCTTTGTCTTTAGGTGAGATGACAAAGTCTGAACCATACAAAAGAGTTGGAATTACAGACTTGCCCTAATTATTGATACTATTAAAGATTCTCCAAAAGTCACAAGAGCCTAGTTTTTGCAATGAAATACAAGATTTCATGGTCTGAAAATAGCGGGCTTTGGCTTTAGACAAAACCTTTTTACTATGGTTTCTAGCAGTAATAAACAGATGTCTGTTTTCTGGAGAATTGTTTTGCTGATAGATATGGAAGTAATGGTTTTGATTGGCAATTGCAGCAGCACAATGTGAGGAAAACCATGGAGAAGAGCGAGGCTTGACCTGGAATCGTCGAGAGGGAATAAAGGATTCCATGCCAGTCTGAATCTACGAAGTTATGTAAGAAGCACATTTGTTAACAGGAAAACAAAAGATTTCTACCCAGAGGCCATCATGAAAAAAATCACGAAAAGGGTCCCAGTCAGCTTTAAGGTAGTTGTAAGATGTACGATGATAGGGGGTTTCTAATGGTAAAGAAGAATGAGATAATAGTTTTAGAGAGACCAAACCATTACAGACGCACCTAAGGGTTAGAGTGGAGAAACTGAGCAATGACTAGGATCAGAACCAAGACATAAGTCGAGTAGAGAAGGTAAATGATTCGAGTTGTCTGGAAAGCGAGTTGGAAAGTTGACTATTTGAGTTAGGGATTGAGAAAGACAAAAGTTGTGGGCCTTAATGCCTGCAGAGTCACTGACACTAGAGCTAAGCCATTCAGTGTGATGAACATTTAAGTCACCGACAACAACAATATTGGCTGATGGATAAAGAATGAGGGCTTGGTCAATATAATCAGAAATAACATCAAGAAGAGTGCAGTCTTGGGATGAGGGAGAGCGATATAGAACAAAGAGAAAGGTGATAGAGTAAAGTGGTGCTAAACGAAAGCACATAAAAGAGTAGTCTGTGGATTCAAACCTAGTTTCCCGACAAATGGGTGAATTCTTACGAATGTAAATGCCCAGGCCAAGCATGTGACTATTGGAGTCTTTACGAATTAAAGGAAGATAACCATTAACACTAAGATCACAAGATGAGACAGAAGAAACAAATTAGTCTCACAAAGAGCAAGTAGGTCTGGTGAACTTTGCAAGAGATAAGACTCAACAGAAGAAAAGTTACTTCGAAGGCCACAAATATTGGTAAATGATAGGTTTAGCGAACTTGGTGATGACTGTGGTTTTTTGTGTTTTATAGTTTTTGTTACTTTATTCATTTTTAAATTTGTTAAAGAACTTGACTCGAAACATAGATAGTACTCAGTACACTGCTTTATAGCTCAAGCAATTGCCTCATTTCCACTAATAAACCTTAAGCCGTAACAAAGGGTTACAATGTGGCCTTTGCAATGCACACCAAAAGTATAAACAGGGACACCATCCATGCGCAACACCCGAACTCTGAGAGCTACCACAGAGTTCGGGAAACCTGACTACCAGCCGGCCTTAGAACCATAAAACTGAGTTTTAGAGCTGTACCCTCATTTGGAGATAATAGAATGAGTTGCTTAGTCATAAAAACAGAGACATAAGCAAAACCCATGCATCGAGTCAAGAAGATCCAGCGTTCAACATCCTAAACTGGAAACGATGTATTAAAAATACATCTGAGCCAGCCTAATAGATAAAAAAGGGGTGCGAGGCTGGTCAACAGATAGAATCTGTTTACCCCTTAAGTTACCAACAATTTTTGTCAGACTTGTTGTGGGTTTTTTGGTTGAGATGTATAAGCGGCTCTGCTAACTTTACCATCCTTTTGTTGCAATAACCTTAGGGTTTTATCTATACGGCCATCAAAACTGATTCAAATGATTTCTTTGGCTAATTCTGCATGTTCTTTGACATCTTTTTGTTGCCACAGGTTTAATTGTATTCTTAACTTTGCTGGATCTAATATGTATTGTGGTAAATTGAATGATATATCTTTCAAGCAAGCGTTAGCAATTTTGTATGCATCTCAGTTGCTAAATCCTGTTCGTTCCGTTATTTGACAGAGTTCTTTGTACTGAAATACATCGCGATATTTGGGATCATGTCCATTATGTGAGCTGTCTTCTAAATCAGTAGCTTTGTCATATTCCTCATTATCATCACAACAACT